GCTGGTCACTGCCTCCCCACTGGACTATGAATCCCAAGAGGGGGGGCAGGGGGCTGTGTTGCCAGCACCAGCCAGCCCAGGGGCACAGGGTCGGTGAGGGAGGGGGGTGTCAGTGAGTGGTGCTAAATGGTGATTGGGGCAAGACATTGGGGTGGGGATGTTGGGTCAGAGGTGGCAGCTGAAGGCCTTCCTCCCACCCCAGGTTTGAGGACAGCCGGCTGGACGTGTGTGTCTATGAGTTGCACGTCTGGCTGCTGGCAGCTGACCGACACACCATCATTGCTCAGCACCATGTGGCCCCCCGGACCTCTGGGAGGGGCCCTCCTGGTCGCTGGGTCCAGGTGAGACTCCCTGCCCCAGCTGCCAACCCAGACCCGTCCCAAGACCTCACAGAGGGAGGAGGGGGGAGAGCAGGGCTCATGGGCCCCTAATAAGGACTTCTTTCTGACCCGCTGCTGCCACAGGTGTCCCACGTATTCCGCCAGTATGGCCCTGGTGTGCGTTTTGTCCACTTCCTGCACAAGACAAAGAACCGCATGGAGCCTGGTGGGCTGCGGCGAACAAGGGTGACTGACTCCTCCGTGTCTGTGCAGTTCAGGGAGTGACTGGCTGTTTTGACCCCTTGTCTCATCCTAAGTGTCTGACTTCATCGCCCTCCCCGCCCCCAAACATCTGAATCTTTGGCATTTCCCCTCACTCTCGGGGCTCCAGGAGGGCAGGGACCATGTCTTCCCGAGGCAGTGCTTGACAGATAGTAGGTGCTCAATAAACCCTTGTTGACTAAACCAATAAACACCTGTGCCCAAGGATTCTGAGTATTTTGCCATCTTTGCTCCTTAGAACTTCGCTGAGCTCCCAGCCCACTCACACACCCTCTGCTCTGTGATCCTCCAGCACCTCACACCTCCTCTGCCTCCCACGCCTCCCTTGACCTCTGATCTCTTCACATACCCCCACCTTATGGTCTCTTACCATCGCCACCTACCTCCTTCCCCCACATTTCTTAGCTCTCAGAATCCCCCCGAATTCTCCTCCATCCAACCCCAAGTTATCCTTCCCCGTGAGCTGCCCCCATACCTTTCCTTCCCCAAGACCCACAATTCTCTTCTTTAGCTTCTCCTAGGAGCCCCCAGACCCAGGTGTCCATCAAGGGCCCCATCCCTGGGGGTGGGGATGAGAATAGGTTGCAAAGTCACATTTGTAGAAATATGCAAATTTGCACTAAAGTCCTTCCATGTGTAGGGGAGGATTGAAGAATTGAACAACCTATAAGTCCTAGGCTCTGGCCAGATCTCACAACAGACCCTGGCCTGGCCTGGGCTGGTCCTTGAAGGCCTCCTGCTGTCTCATGCATGAATCCTGAGTCTGGAGGTCCCTGGCAGGCCAGAGCAGCTGGGATCACTCAGGGAAGGGCTGTGCACCAAAAGGTCTGGGAAGCATGTCAATGTCTAATTATCAGCAGCAGTGCCATTGCATGCCACACATGCTTCCTGTGGGCGTGTGTCTTTGTGCACACCTAAATCCACATCAGAATCTATGGGTGCGTCCCCAGTCACAGCACTGCCCCAGGTAGGACTGATCCTGGCATGACCACCCTGCTGTCTCCCCATCCCACCCCATCCTGGGTGGTCTTGGGTCCCAAGCACAAGCAGATGGCAGACAGGGGCAACTTCATAAGGACTGTATTGCAGAGAAGGCAGGGTGGAAAGGGGGCAGTCAGAAAGCTCTCTTGTCTGGGACTTGGGGCCTTCAGCAGGCCCCAGGGACAAGGCTGGGTGAGGGGCTCCTCATTCTGTAGGAGCTGGAGATGAGGGACCTCTAAGGCATCAGTAGCACCTGCAACAGAATAAAAACTTAGCACCAGGAAGTGCCAGGAGCTCAAAGGTTCTTGGCTTGGGGAGCTCTAGAGCCTGAGATAAGGTGTGGGCTGGGCTGGGCTGGGCTGGGCTCCCACTTCAGGAGTGGGGGTCTCCTGGAGCTCTTGGAGGGGCGGGTGTGGTGGTTTGGAGGCTACTGTGGCTAGACTTAGGGTCCCAAGTCTGTGAGTTTGCATATGTGAGTGCAGGGTGGGCTCAGGGCTCCAAATGCTCCAGAACCTTCCCAAGGACCCTGGGACTGGGTCCTGGTTTTGAGGCTGTCCTAGAGGGTGTGGGTGGTTGGGAGCATAAGGGCCAGACAGGGTACCTTCCCAAGGACCCTGGGACTGGGTCCTGGTCTTGAGGCCGTCCTAGAGGGTGTGAGTGGTTAGGGAGCATTAGGGCCAGACAGGGTGTCCCCAGATATGAGTCTGGGGTCTTGAGGTCTGGGTCAGATGTAGAGTCTGGGAAGCCTGAGGCAGCTCTGAGATCTGACGATTTGGGGAGAGGGAAGAACTGGCTTTAGTTCTGGGACTCCAGGGTGAGGGAATGAATGGCTCCACATCCCAAGCTAGACTGGGCAGCTCAGGAGTTAGTGGCCCTCCCTGGACAGTGTAGCTATGGGTAGGCAGGTGGAGGTTCAGGAAGGTTGTGGGGGGCGGGCTCCCTAAATGGAGGGGGTTGCATTACTTCTGAGTGTGAGAATCCCAGAACTGGTCTGAGAGATCCAAGGGGCATGGGCTTGGGGGAGGGATGCGGGTGAGAAGGGGCCTCCAGGATGGGTCTAGGGATTCCCAATTTGGGTCAGGGACTCAGGGGTCTGGGCAAACTGAAGCTGGGGGTGGTGGTGGGGCTGGGTTCTGTGCTGTGGAAGCAGATGTGCACACTGGCACGGAGATAGGAGTGCACCTGCAGTAGATGGAGGAGATGGCGTTGGACCAGTGGCCAAAGATGCCCCTGCGGTACTCTTCAAGGCGCGGGTAGACACCAGCGGTGAACTTGTGAGACTTGCCACCCTTGCTTCTTCGGGACCACACAGTGAGCTCACAGCGTGGGGCCACCACGAGTGAGGAGATGACGTTCCTCCAGTCAGAGGGCAGGAAGGGCAGGTCGGTGCCCGGCTCTATGGACAGCTCGGCACCTCTGCAGCAGTTCTCATAATATGGGTCGCTCTTGTCATAGACCTTGGCGCACGTCCGTGTCCCATCGGGCTTCTTGAGGTCAGCGGCTGCCGGGCAGGCGCCTCGGACACCGGGGATGGCCACCAGGGCCAGGGCCAGCAGCAGTGGGCACAGCGAGGCCATGGTGACGCTGCAGGGCTGTGCCCCTGTGTGCTTTTATGCTCCTGACCCGTGGGAAGGGACAAGCTGCAAGATTAGGACTCTGCGAGGGAGGGGGAGTGGGAGCCCTTCCTAGTCCAGGTCGCAAACCCACAAGGAGAAATACAGGATGGACATATTCGCATGAAACGTAGCAGCTTGTGTCAATACACAGGACTTGAGGGTCGGTCACTGCAGCACAGAGGGGACAGGGTTAATAGGTTGGGCAGGAAGAGCTCTTATAAACTGACCAGGAATGAAACACCCCACCTCACCCCACCTCCTTCAACAGGAGAGGCTGAGGGAGGGGGAAGAGGAGGGGGGCTGGGCCTTCAGGCGGGGCAGGTCTCAAGACCTTGGGAAAGTAGAAGCTGGAGATGGGTGGGGGGAAGAAGCGGAAGGGGAGGTGAAGGGGGTGCAGGAGGAGGGACAGGGAAGGGCGCCTTCGCTCAGGAGTGGGAGATCTTCCTGACCAAGTTCAGAAGCCAGAATCTGTGAAATATGAGATAGGCCTATTGTGTAACACTTAAAGCCATTACAGCCCGGCCAGTGTGATTCACTGGTTGAACATGGGCTATGAACCAGGAGGTCACAGTGAACCGGAATTTTTGGACTGGAACATGTGGTGTTCCCCTGGGTAGGATGGTGTCTGTTAGGTTTGATCGAGCAATTGAATTGATACGTTTCCTCCAGGAACTGGCTTTTCAGGTCATTTCACTATGGCCATTCCCTTTGACCACATTCCATTATCTCCCCTCTGGGTATGCATAACGAAGTCTCTGCCCAGAAAAAAGCCTGCCGAAAGTCCTTTCAAAGCCGCTGATTCCCGTCACTGGGTGCTGGAGCCATCCAGATTCCGCCACCTGGTGTGTGGATGGTGGAGTAAATTCATAATCCCTCACCATTCTGGCCTGTGTGTTCCTCCTTGGGCTGAGGAGGAAACTGGTCTTGCAAGGCGTGTCAGGCCATAAAAACTGTGAACAATATACTGCCCTGGGGTGGGATGAGGTTGTTTT